GCCCCAGTTATTTTCATTTATGGCAGTTATTTTCATTTAATATATTAAAGATTGTTATTCTGCTTTCTCCTTGTTTTTTCATTTCAACAGTCCTATTATTGCTTGTTTGGAAGTAATGTGGTTTTTTTGTTTTTTTTCTCTTAATGAGATTTTCCCCTTCCCTTTAATTTCCATCAGTTTTATGCTGAAACTCCAACTAGAAAGAAGTATGATAGACTTTTTGATGATGTCTATATGCTCCTACTACTCCTAGTAGCACACAACAAAACTGGCCTGGGCATGTGCTGTTTTGGTCATGATCTTGAAGTTGAATCAGGAAGACACCAGCACAATGCTGAGGTCAGGACCATACCACATTTACTGTCATTGCTGTCAACAGTAAATACTCCATAACCTGTCCCTTGACATTGTGAAGTTAGAAACAAGAGTTTCTGATTCTTCTGCAGCAGTTCAGTAAAGCTTGTGCTTCCAGGATTGTTCAAACCAGGCAAAATGGCAGAATCAACATAAATGTGGCTTCTGCTTTATGATATTCACTGTTCACATCTATTTTTTTCTGAGCATGTATCTACTGGGTAAAATCTAGGTCGGTACAAGAGCCATAGTGTCCTAAAGTTTTGGAAGTGTACTTTGGCGTGCATTAAACAAACTTTACAGGAGATACAAATAAGAGAAGTGAGCCAAACTTTTCATTGTTTATCCCTAAAGTGCCAACTTTGAAAAAATGTTGAGTGGAAATGATATTTTGTCAAGCAAGTAGATAGCCCATAGAATATACTCCGCTATATAATTAAAAAGGAACTGTTGTTATATTCAAAACCTATAGGAAGTAGATTTTAGATTTTTATTATTGACAGATAAGGTTTAGAGATAATGAAGGAAGAAAGAAGGAAAGAGAATTAGAATGACATATTTATAATTTCATCTTTTATTATCTTTTGATATTTCCACTAAAGGCATTATTACCCTTTTTTCTCCCCCAGAATTGGGATATACTTCATTGGACTGTATTTATGAAATTTGACTTAGGATTCTGTTTTTTTTCTTTTTAATTTTTTTTAATGTTTATTTTTGAGAAAGAGAGCGACAGAGTGTGAGGGACAGGGAGAGAGGGAGACAGAGAATCCAACGCAAGCTCCAGGCTCGAAGCTGTCAGCCCAGAGCCTGATGTGGGGCTCGAATCCACAGACCTTGAGATCATGACCTGAGCCAAAGTTGGTCGCTTAACTGACTGAGCCACCCAGGCATCCCAAGATTTTGTTTCTAAGACAATGTTTAATGCAACTTTTTTAGGATCAGCAAACTGTGGAGTACTAAATTATTCTCAGCAGAATTTCCACAACATGCTTGGGATAGCTACTATTTTTACCATTATTTTAGAAATGTAGAAATGTAGGGGTGAATGAGTTCTCATTTTCCAAAGCCACAGTCTGGATATTGAGACTATAAATCAGAGCTGAGTGACTCCGAAGTCTTCGCTCCAAACCTGTAGTACATCAACAGTAAATAAGCAAGCAAAACTAGACAGGAAATTTCTGAAAAGGGAAACTTAAGTGTGAGGCCTACATTAATTATTAAACGTTCACATATATTTTATAGCTAGGGTAGCTAATGGGATAGGACTAAAAAACATGGCTAGTTTAAATGCCGAAACATATAAGATTATTTAGCGTATGAGAAAGGTGGAAATGCAGATCAGAAGCAAAATACATGAATTATTTGATAAATAATTGGATATCATGGCAGCTATCTGGGAAAAAATAAGGTTGACATATTCATGAAGATTTATTTTATATTCATTGATTAAAAATTAAACAAGGGAGGGCACCTGGGTGGCTGAGTAGGTTAAGCTTCTGATTCTTGATTTTGGCTCAGGTCATGTTCTCACAGTTCATGAGATCAAGCCTCGCATCAGGCTCTGTTCTGAAAAAGCACAGAGCCTGCTTGGGATTCTCTCTCTCCCTCTCTCTCTCTCTACCCCTCCCCCATTCTCTCTCTCTCACTCTCGAAATGAATACATAAACATTAAAAAAAAAGTTAGCCAAAGGAGTATTGTAAGATACTATAGCAATAATAAAAAAAAAGTTGTAGTAATTCTAACAATAACACAAATCCTGTAATCTTTGAGGAAAAGATTAATTTGCAAAATCCACTGTAACAATTTAAAAGATAAATAGTACATCAAGGAGAAAAGTGTATAACTCAAAATCACAGACTAAATCCATTTTTTCAAATATATAAAAAGTGCATACAAGTCCACAGCAAAAAGACCAACACTTCAATAGAAAAATGAGCCAAGCTGGGGACATGTGACACGTGTAGTACTAAACATTGCAGAAACTCTAGCAATGATGAAACATGGTAGACAACTTCATTATCCAATAATAATTTAATTTATACATCCATATACTAGAAAACTGATCTAAAAACAAATAAGGAAGTCACTTGGGCATTGCTATGGAGTGATCTCCAATATATACTAAGTGAAAAGTAATGAGCTAGAAGGTATATATTTGCTTGTTTACACCGAAGATAACTCCAGAAAAATGCAAAAGGTATTGAGGGCATTATTTACCTTCTACAGAGGAGAAGTGGGTGACTGAGGAACAAGTGTGGGATGGAGAGTTTTCACTTTGTACCCTTTGAAGTTAGCACCATGTAAATATATTATTTCAGAACATAAGAGCTTTAAAATTATGTTGTTTAGCTTTGTTCTTACTTGGGATGAAAGAGATTCTTCCAGACTTTTAATTTTTGACACACTAAATATACTCCCTCATTTAGTTTAATTTTTAGATGTAATACACTTACTACATTTACTGAAATTAGTAGATGCTGGCAACTTTTAATTGATTAGAAATTTAGATACTTAATTTCGATAACATATATTTTACTTTTTTAAAAAGAACTTCGAAGCCTGGATCTATCACTAGCTTTGTGGTCTTTGACAAACCAACTTCAATACTTTCTATGAAAGTATTTTTTTATGAAATTGAGCCATAAAAAAGGATGAAATGCTGGTACCCGCAACCACACGGATAAATGCCAAACATTATGCTGAATGAAAGAAGCCTTACGGAAAAAGAGTCCTTGTGTTTTCCATGGATATGAGGTTCTAGAACAGACAAGTAATACGATTGGTGGAAAGATCAGAACAGTGGTTACCTATAACAGGAGTGGAGGTGAGGACTACCTGGAAAGGAGTCTGAGGGAATTTTCTGGGTGATGGTGATTGACAGTGGTCTGAGGTATACAGGTGAATGCACTGTTCAAGACCCACAGAGGTTACTTTTAACAGTTGCACATTTCTTTATAAATTTCATATGAAAAGAATAATCTGTAAAAAATACTGAGCTTGAGTTAATGATATATTTGCTTAAGTAAAGGGGCATGCACAGATATCTGCAATTTGCTTTGAAATGAATTAAAAAATGGATGAATAGGTGAATAAATATGTGATTTTGGAAGTGTAATACAATGTTAATGGTAGATCCAGGTGAGAATGTTTGAAAATTTTCAAATTAAAAAAAAGAAAAAACTTTGAAAATAAGCAGAAGTATATCCCTAAACTAAAAGTTACTCAAAATGCCCATGAATGGTAGAATGGATAATTTGTGGCATATTAACAGAATGGAATACTATACAGAGAAGGAACTATCTACAGCACAAGATGAATCTCATAAGCAAAATATTAAACAAAAGAAGCTAGACATTAAAAAAAAAAAAAAAAAAACACTCCATGATTCCATTTATGTAGTGTAAAACCAGGCAAAACTGATCTACACTGGTAAAAGTCAAAATAGTGTTTCAAATAGTTACAAAAAAGAGAGGGAGGGAGGCAAACCATAAGAGACTGTTAAGTACAGAGAACAATCTGAGGGTTGATAGGGGGGTGGCGGAGAGGGGAAAATGGGTGATGGGCATTGAGGAGGGCACTTGTTGGGAGCACTGGGTGTTGTATATAAGCGAAGAACCACGGGTATCTACCCCCAAAACCAAGAGCACGCTTTACGCACTGTATGTTAGCCAATTTGACAATAAATTATATTAAATAAATAAACAAACAAACAATGTGATTTCTTTAAAAAAAGTAGTGTTTCACATCAGGGTGGGCATATTTAGTGACTTCTGAGGTGCTGGTATATTCTATTTCTTATTTTGAAATGGGTTCAGTTGGTGAGAATTCATGTTCTGTGCTCTGATGATTTGTGTGCCTTTTCCCTTAATATATTTTAATAAAAAGTTACATAAATTAAAATAATAACAGCTCTTATCTCCCCATCTTACTTTCTTATTTAGATTAAAACCCATTAAAATGTAAACTCCATGAAGACTATAATTTTGATCTTTTTTTTTTCACTGCTGTATACCCAAGATTAGAACATGACCTGCACATAGTGGTCACACCAAACATTTTTCATCAATGAATGATAATATCGCACAGTGCTTATTCCATCACCTGCCACAGAATACAAACACTCTAAACATTAGATCTTACTATAATATTATATCATTGCTTGAGACAATTAAGGTCATTTTTCTCTTCCAGCAGTGCAACGTAGACAGCACTGTATTTTTACATCAGGTATCCATTATCTCATGTTTCTAAGTTCATCTCTCCTTTTGATCAATGGTGGTAGAGAAATCAATGGCCACAGGTGAACTTTAGTCCATGGACTTACAATAGGGAATTGAAGTTGAAAATTTACCCTGTTTTTTTATGCAGTCTGAGTTAATTATTTATGCTGCTGCTCTTGTTGCCCTCAGAGGTGATCATGCCCTTATTGGACTCTGGCACCCAAAATTCTGTCAATTAACATAGTTGTGTTATCTTAACATTATTCCAAAAATGGTTTAAATGAAAGATATGTCTTGTTACAAAGAGACTTAGACAGATGTTGTAAATAATTAACTTTTCTTCCGGCAAAGTATTGTGTACTTAATGAGGAGTCCCTAGTGCTTTACAATTGTTACAATCTTTCTGGGGCACACTGCTGAAGATGAGGTCGAAAGACTTGGCTTTTATCATCGTATTAATCATCTCAGGAGAACTCTATGCAGAAGGTAAATTGAATTTTTAATATTCTTTATTCCCTAAAAATCATAAAGGGAAATTCTAACATCCATTTAACTTGAATTTTTAATATAGTCTTTCATTTTTGTGTATCAACTTGATAAAAGCACAGTTATTATAAATAGAATTTGTTATAGTTAGGCAGATTTATTTTTCCTTTGGGCACAACTAGTAAGTATTTTTGTAGTATTTAGTATTTTGTAGTATTTAGAAAAACAAAACAAGACAAAACAAAATCCTGCTTTGTATCTCTAGGTTTTAGGGCATAGGAGATTAGGATCTAAATACCTCAAAGGGTTTTCAGGCTAACAGTACTGCCATTTAGAAGTCTTTGTTAATCTTAATTCTAACTTCATAATGGAATTGATTCATAACACTGCAAAGCTTGTACAAATTTAATTCTCTGTTCATAAAGTGAGATGTTAGTGTGGGAAATTTGAAAAGAAAAAATAGCCATAAATCATCAAAATTTTTGACCCTTCACCCTTTGATTTTTACCCTAATTTATTTATTGGCTTCAATCTTTAAGTTGTGATCAGGAGGACCATGTAATTGATTACACAGACAAGGATACTTTTGAGAGCAAGAGGGAACTCTATTAATAATTATGTGGGACAACCGTTGCAAACCAAGAGTGTCCAGACAAGCCAATATCTGTTGACTCCCTGACTCAGAAATCTTCATCGCCAGACTTCCCAGTGTGTGAATTAGCGAATGTGAGGCAGGCAGTGTACAAGTGTGGATTATTTAGAAATAATTAAGCTGTAGGGATAAGAAACCAGACAGGTCATTAGGTGTCAGCAGAGTGAATATACGAAATGGGAAACCACAGCAATAAGGCTTTTCTAAAATAAACACCTTAGGGAATTTGTTGAAATAAAATATCTTACAGATTATAATTGCCTTTTAGGTGAAGAGTTTACTACAAATTTTGTACCCCAAAAAAGTCTGCTATTAAAACAGTAAAAGTGAAATAAATAGAATTCATCTTATTCGATACATTTAATTCTACAATAAAATTATTTTTTAGGAATAGTTTCCTTTGGTTTCATTTTTCTGTCTAAATAGAGAAAAACCAGCTGATACAGTTCTCTATTATCTCTATCATGAAGGCATTGCATTTTCTAGATAATTTCCTAATTTTTACATGGTCATAATCTTCTTTCTCCCAAGCAAACAGAAAAATAACCTGCCTGAGGACAGGGACCACAGTCTCATGGTCACCCCCACTGGAAACCTAACAGGCAATAACTGATTTCATAGCATGCAATCATCATTGGCCTATGAAAGGTGCCACTTTTGCTCTATTTATATATTTCTTCCCTTTATCCCTGATCCCAAACTCCATTTCCCCTAGCATCAAACTGAGCCACTATAATGTGTTTGATATATTCTTAAATACGTAACCATCTTTCTGAACTATGTCTGCTTTTGTGTATGTGCTTGACATTCACATAAAAGCTTGCCATAGATTTTCTCTCCTTACTGGTTTGTTTTACTTGCTATCATTTAAACATATTTCCATGTTGCTCAATCTATTTTGTTGCTACTGCTACATAGTGTTTCATAAATTTTACTTATCCATCTCCCTAGTGATGGACACATAGTTACCTCTAATTTGCTTCTAACCACAAATAACTCTGAAATGAATGCTGTCCATATAATCACCCTATTTCTTTGTTATAATTTCTCTGGCATATATATATTCACATGTGTGTTAATAATATTATATTGTATATTTTAAAGTTGCTAAGAGAGTAGATCTTAAAAGTGCTCATCACAAGGGAAAGAATTTGTACCTGTGTGGTGATGGATGTTAACTATATTTATTGTGAGATCATTTTGCAATATATACAAATATATATGTGTACTCATTATACTGTATGCCAAAAACTAATATGTTGTATATCAATTATACCTCGATAAAAATATTATGTAAGTACCTATAATATTTACTTATGTGTGACAGGCATCTGTCATTCAATAATATGTTTGTGAGAGTCACCATTCAGAATTCACCACTTGTATTGCTATATACCATTTCATTGAATGCATAGTCTAAAATACGTTTAACTTTTCCACCATGAATGGGCATTTGGATTGTTTCCAGTTTGGGACTACACCAATAATGCTGCTATGAACATTCTCTAAAATGTCTTTGGGTGCACAGATACTTTTTTTCTTTCTTCTTTCATGTTGTTGATGTGGTGTATTACATTGATGGATTTTTGTATGTTGAACGATCCTTGCATTCCAGGAATAAAGCCACATGCTCATTGGTCCTTTTAATACGCTGCTGAATTCTCTTTGCTGCTATTTTGTTGAGAATGTTTGCATCAATGTTCATAAGGGATGAATGCTTTTTAAATATGGTATGTGCATATTTTGCTTTAATATCGCCAAAGATAGTTGAGTACTTTTTACTAGGTCTGTGACCATTTACATATCCTGTTTTGTAAATCTCTTGCTCAAGTCTTTTATTTATTTTTAATGGGTTGTCTTTTTCTTTCTAAACAAAAAAAAAGCCATTCATTTAAAAATTCTGTATGTTTGCAAATCCTAAGCAGAACTTCACCTATTCTAGAACTCTGCTGTCCAGTATAGTGACTACTAGCCACATACAGCTATTGAAATGTGGTGAGTCCACACTGGGATGTGCTGTAAGTGTAAATATGCACTGGAGTTCAGACTTAGTAAGAAAAAAATAATGAAAAATAATTTTAATATTTGAAGGAGTCAAATAATACCTATTATTAAAATTAACTTCAATTGTTCCATTTATTATGTGACTACTAGAGATTTTGAAATTACATATGTGACTTGCGTTATATTTCTGTTAGTGAGTGTTGTTTTACAAAGTTAGGGAAAGCTTCCCTGAGGAAGTGGCCTGACCAATTTTCTTCTTACTGTTGGGTATTGGGATTACAAGCAGATTAATTCTGATTGAAAAAATTGTCACAGAAGTACCTTAAAATTTTAGTTAATAAAAAGAAGTACTAGTTAAAGTGGCTGCAAACATTTCGGATTTAGAAATGTTGGGGTGCCTGGGTGGCTCCGTCAGTCAAGCGTCTGACGCTTGATTTCGGCTCAGGTCATGATCTCATGGTTGTGGGATGGAGCCCCGCACCTGAACGTGGAGCCTGCTTAGGATTCTCTCCCTCTGTCCCTCCCCTCCTCCTCCTCCTCCTCAGAAAAAAAAAAAAAAAAAAAAAAAAAAAAAAGTATTGCCATTTGGTCACACATTTCATGGTTTTAGGTATGTTTTTCAGTTTTCATCTTGATATTTACTCATTTCAGAGAAACCCTGTGGCTTTCCTAGTGTGGAAAATGGAAGGATTGCCCAATATTACTATCCTTTTAAAAGCTATTACTTTCCAATGAGAATAAATGAAAAATTGTCATTTTCCTGCTTGGCTGGTTATTCAACGGCAACTGGAAAACAAGAGGAGCGAATCACATGCACCCAAGAGGGCTGGTCTCCAGAACCACGATGCTTCAGTGAGTTGGTGGCCTGTGTCCACAAAATACGTATAATATGCAAAGAGAGTAGTCTGTAAGTGTCCAATAAAACCTGGCTGGTGGTGAAAAGTTTTGGTAGATTAAGAACAAAATTACTGGTCCAGGGTCTCTGTTACAAAATGAAGGCATATTCTGAAATTCTATAAATAATGTTTCTTATTAAAATGCTATTGTCTTTATTTTCAGTAATACCCTGTGAAGAGAATAAAAACATTTATTGAAATTGGTGTTATCATACTGCCAGAAACAGAGATACAAATAAGTTACTTTAAGGAGTGAGGAACTTATACAGATAATGTGCATAGGAAGCCAGAAAAAAATGCTTGTCACTGGCCATAGGAAGAAGAGTAAGATTGTTACTGTAGTGTTTTATCCTTTGAAAGACTCATCTCTCCTTTGTGCACCAACTTCTTCTCCCATAATATCCATTAAAAAATTTCTGAATTTTGAGTTCAAATTTAGGAAAAATAAATCTGATGGGTCTGTCTCATTATTTAATGCCAGGCTACCCTATAGTCAAACTATTAATTAGCTTCCATCAGAACAGGTGACCTCTCTCAAACAAAGAATTCTCTAAGCTCTGTTTTGCAGATTAGAGGTTTTAGATGAATCTCTTTTATTTAGAAAGTTGGTATGTGCTTTTGTTACACAGTGTTAAAAATTGTCAAACACAGTGGACTTAAAAATATTAGGAAGTAAATTCAAATGAAATTGCTTCTACTTGCCATTAATGACAATTAATTAGTGGAAGAGCGCTGTTAAATTTTTTAAAAGTAGATGTGATAGGTGTAGGTGTCACTATAAAAACTGAAGTTAATAAATACAAAGAATGTCAGTATGAAGTTGAATCGATTTTTGAAGTTTGTTACAGAACATGCAGGCTATTTCCAAAATTAAGGGATTTGGGAGTGAAATTTGTTCTTCATTCTTTAAATTCCAAGAATAATAGGGGCACCTGAGGGGCAACTGAGTGGCTCAGTTGGTTAAGCATCTGACTTCAGCTGAGGTCATGATCTCACTCTTCATGAGTTTGAGCCTTGTGTCGGGCTCTGTGCTGACAGCTCAGAGCCTGGAGCCTGCTTTGGATTCTGTGTCTCCCTCTCTCTCTGCCCCTCCCCTGCTCACACTCTTCCTGTCTCCCTCTAAAAAAATACATAAACATTAAAATAATAATAATAATAAATAAATAAATTCCAAGAATAATATTAAACTTTTGCCTTATTTTTACAACTAAGTAAAAGACAAACTTAAGTTCACCAAGTTAAACAAAGAATTTTTTTTCCCATAGAAAAATGCACTAAGCCCGAGCTGACAAATGGTTACATCTCTGATGTAAAATTATGGTACAAAATTCAAGAGAACATGCGTTATAGTTGTAATTCAGGATATAAAACTACTGGAGGGAAGGATGAAGAAGTGGTTCAATGTCTTGCTGATGGATGGTCTTCTCAACCTACCTGCAGGAAGGAACATGGTATGTGTTTAAGAACCATTTCCTAAAACCGAAGAAAAGGGACAGTGAGGCTAGTACTTTCTTATATTGATAGGCATTTTTATTTAATAGAATTTATTTTTCATCATGTCTGCAAATGCAAGAAGTTGGTATTATATTGTTTTTCTTAAGTGCTAAGTGTTTCCCTAACCCAGGGGTTCTCAACTCCTAAAACACACCTACTCCAGTAGCTCCTACTTATTTGTTTTGATATTAATAGACTTTTATTTTTAGAGCAGTTTTAGATTTGCAGAAATATTGATCAGCTAGTACAGAGAGTTCCCATATACCCCTTCCTGCCCTTGGCCACATACAGTTTCCCCTATTATTAACATCTTGCATTGAGTGAGGCGTATCTGTTGCAATCAATGAGCCAATGTATAACCAAATTCATACTTTACATTAGGGTTCATTCTTCGTGTTACACATGCTATGGGTTTTGTCCAGTGTCTAAGGATACGTATCCACCAGTAAGGTGTCATGAAGAATAGTTTCAGTGCCTAAGAGCCCCCTGTTTTCCACCTATTCATCCATTTTTTCTTCCCTCAAACCTTTGGCAGTCCTCATCTTGTTTTTTAGTTGTGGCAAAATACGCATCACATGAACTTTACAATTTCAACTGTTTTTAAGTGTACAATTCAGTAGCATTACGTACATTCACAATGTTGTCATCACCATCACCGCCGTTTCCAAAACTTTTTCACCAAGCCGAAGAGAAACTCTCTACCTTTAATAATCCCCTACACCCCCCACCATACCCCAGTACCTGGTAACTTCTATTTTCTGTCTCTATTTCCTTATTTTAGAAACTTTGTATAAGAGGAGCCATGCAATACTGTTCTTTTGTGTCTGGCTTATTTCACTTAGCACAATGTATTCAAGGTTCATTTATGTTTTAGCATGTATCAGAGTTCATTTCTTTTTACGATGGAATAATGAGTTTTCCAAAAAGCCAGTATATATACATATGTGTACAGACATATATATATAATAATATCTATATATTATATATATATATATATATAACATTCTAATGTTATATATATACATATACATATATATATAACATTCTAATATTATATATATACATATATATATATATATATATATATATATATATATAGCATTTTGTTTGTCCATTTATCCACTGATGGACACATGGATTGGTGACAATTCCTCTAAAAGTTAAACATAGAATTATCATATGATCCAGTAATTCCACTTCTAGGTATATACCCAAAGGAATTGAAAGCAGGAACTCAGAAGTCTACACCAATGTTCGTTCCCAGCAGCAGTTTTTCACAACAGCCAAAAGGTGGAAGCAGTTCCTACTTTATACTAATAAAGAAAAGAATGAAATGGAATAAAATAAAAAAACCTTAAACCTGTTCCTTGCAACATATGTAAATTACTATTTCCTTTATTAAAGAAGAATTCAGGATAATGCCCATGATTTTTATTGGCAGACCCAAATTGGATACACTTAAAATAATCCAGTAACTTGAATAGACATACTTTGTTAACGTGTTGTTAGTTGCTTAAACTGTACAAATCCTCAGACGGCACATAATCAACAAATTGTTACTGAACAAGCCTTTAGTTGAATTGTGGCCTTTTTTCAACTACACTAGAGTAGAATTTTAAGAATAGAGGGGGTGCCTGGGTGGCTCAGTTGGTTAAGCAACCAGCTCTTGGTTTTGGCTCAGGTCATGATCTCATGGTTGGTGAGATTGAGCCCTGCATCAGGCTCTGTGCTGATGGCACAAAATGTGCTTAGGATTCTCTCTGTGTCTCTCTCTCTGTCTCTGTCTCTCTGCCCCTTCTGTGCTTGTGCAGATCTGTCTCTCTCTCTCAAAATAATTTTTTTTTTTTTTTTTTTTAGAAAAAAAGAGTATAAGACTGGTGCAATAACACACAAGGTTTATTAAAAAAAAAAAAGGGGGAATAGAGAGACAAAGGCAAACTGGCTGTTTTTCAATTTTGCCAAAGATGATTCCACCAAATATGCTCAAGATTTTGTGAAAATACATTTTGAGATTTCTTTTTAATATTATTGTTTTAATGATAAAATTCATAAAATAAATAATGTTGATTTTTTTTTTTTTTTTAGAAACATGTTTGGTCCCTGAATTACATCATGGAAATTATTCCACAACGCAGAAAACATTCCAGGTGAAGGACAGAGTACAATACGAATGTACTGCGGGCTACTATACAGCTGGAGGAAGGAAGGCAGAGGAGGTAGAATGTCGCACATATGGATGGTCTCTCACACCAAGATGTATGAGTACGTTCTCATTTTAAAGATGATCTGGTCTCATTTAAAAACTTTCTCTTATGTGGAAATGTATATAAATTGTCACCCTAATTATGTTTCATTTTTCATACTTGTTTTTGCTTATGGTTTTAATTATGTCGATCATAGGCTTTGATCAGTTAAAGCTCTCAGGGGTTTCATACGTAGCTCCCTCGCTGAGGTCTGTTGAAAGTCAAGCCTCCACACAGGAAAAAAAAATAATTAAAAAAAAATTTAAAAATAAATATAAAGCTCTCAAATAGCAGAATTTCTTTTAGCTCAGATAATTAAATTAACATAAGCCTAATGATATTTCATAAATATAGGAATTGACAAGCTTTTATATGTATTTCAAAATATGGCAAATTTACTAATTTCTATTCCAGATATGATATATAAATAGATGAATTTTGTTCAACAGAAAAAATGACACTTTCTTTTGTATTTTATGTCGTTCTTTCATTTTTAGAATTAAAGTGCTCTTCTTTAAGATTAATAGAAAATGGTTATTTTCATCCTATAAAGCAAACTTATGAAGAAGGAGATGTAGTTCAGTTTTTCTGTCATGAAAATTATTATCTAAGTGGATCTGATTTAATTCAGTGCTATAACTTTGGTTGGTATCCAGAATCTCCTGTATGTGAAGGTAATTTTAAAAATTTCACACTCATACAAATAAAATATCATGTCTTAATCAGCTTTAATTTTTATGAAAAAAATGTTTCTGATGATATCTAATCCTTGTCCTGAGTGCTATCTTTTAAGATAAATATGGTCTTTTAAATCAGCGCTATTTTCACCAATATTTAATACATTTAAATTTGAAGAAATCTTAAATTTTGCATTAGTTTGTAGAGTGGTTATAACTTTTAAACTCTCTTACTATAAATTTAAATCTCTTATAACAATGAATAAATTTTCTTTTTGAGAATTACTAGATTCAATTATTCCAAGCTGGCAGCTTTGTGAGGGTTTCTTTCTTATCTGGCTATATATTTCCTGATATGAAAATACAGTCTTCAGAACACTGGGGGTAAAGAATAGAAAAATCAACAGAATATTAACCAGAGTAAAAATGAAAAATATGATCCTCTAGTAAGAGCTATTGTAAAATGTAATCCATGGGGTAAATTTCTATCACTGGACATGTCCAAGAAGATAGTATGATCACCTGTTGGAAGGCAACAATTCAATAGTCATTTAAATGTACCTACAATGAGATATGAAAGAGATCCTAGCCTAGCAGAGGGAACAGATTTGAAAATTGTTCATTTGAAAATGAACACATTGATGCAATGTGACAAATATAATAAAGTCAGGTATAAAGTATTTGAACAAACATTGAAGATTTTGAGGTATGGGGTGCGATAGCATTTTTTGGAGGTGTTGGATAGTATTGGAACTGAAATGTAAGTAGGAGTTTCAGGATTGGGAGAGATGGGGAGAAGTAAAGGTCTTGATAGCCTCTATTTTCTCTGTAATATAGAAGATAATGCCATTATTGACAGGCAGGAGGAAGACAGGAAAGTGGAACTTGGAAGAGGGGGTGAAGCTAGAAAGAGTGAAAGGGGGAGATGACCAGAGGTATGAGATGGGACTGCCCAGAAGGATCCTAATTCTTTAAATGCACCAAATGATAATTTCAATGTTTTTGTTTTTAATTTTCCAGTCCTGCTCAAGAGCCTTGGTCTAACAGTAGAGAGGAAGATTGTTAGCAAATTACCTGCCGCATGTTATTTGAGAAATAAATGGCAAACCTACATTATGCCTACCCCCCTCCCCCCATCCAAATTAGTCAGCTTGCCAGTATGCCATGTTATTTTCTCTGGTAAATAGTCATTAGATGTTAGGTAGGCAGTGCAGTTGGCTGAATAATAATAAATTATATCCTAATCTCTGGAGCCAGTGAATGTTACCTCATTTATAAAAAGGGACTTTGCACATGTGATAAAATTAAGGATCTTGAGGTAGGAATAATTTCTGGGATTATCCATGTGGGCCCTAAATGTAATCCCAAGAGGGAGGCAGAGGGAAATTTGACTACAGAAGAGGAATAGAGATGTGACAGTGGAAGCAAGAAGTTGGAGTAATAGGAGGAAAGGTCGTGTGCCTAGGAATGTGTTCAGCCTACAAAAGTTTAAAAAGGCAAAGAAGCTGATTCTCTCCTAAAGTTTCTAGAAGGAATGAAGCTTTCCTGATGTTTTGATTTTAGACCAGTGAAACTGGTTCTGGGCTTTGCCTTCCAAAACTGTAAAGAATAAACTTGTGCTATTTTAAGCCACTTAAGTGTGATAATTTGTCCCAACAGCAATAGGAAATTAATACAGTCTGCATTTTAGAATAGTTAAGAAGATTTTATTTAATTCATATAGACATGGTACAAGAACAGATCCACCAGTTAATAGTTAATATACTTACTTCAGAAGCTTTAGTTTATCTATATGAGAGAAATAATTGTCCCTGCTTAATAAAGTTACTTTAGGAATAAAGGAGATAATGAATGCTGTTTTAATTTACTTGCTTTTATAGTTTTCTATTGATGTATAACACCACTATTACAAATTTAGCAGCTTAAAACAACACATTTGTATTATTTCATAATTTCTGTAGGTTGGGAGTCTGGGAATAGCTTATCTGGATCCTCTGCATCTTTGTCTAACAAAACTGCTATTAAAGTGTCAGCTGGGGCTTCGGTCTCATCTGAGGCTTGACTGGGGAAGAATCTGCTTTCAAACTCATTGTGGTTGTTGACAGCATTGAGTGCTTTGCATATTGCTGAGCTGGGAGCCTCAATTTCTTCCCAGCTGCCTGCTGGAGTCAGCCTTCTGCTCCTGGCCTTGTTGTCTCCCCATTTGGAAGCTCACAATGTGGGAGTGTGCTTTTTATCAAAATCAGCAGGGAGAGAATCTCTCAACAAGAATGGCCTTACAGTATTATGTTGCATATTATACATACATAATCACATACATCCCCTCGTCTTTGCCACGTTCTATTGGTCAGAAGGAAGTCACAGTTCCTGCTCAGTGGGGAGAGGTATCACACAAGGAAGTGAACAACAAACACATCAAAAGTGGAGATCAAGGGGGTGACCTAGGGTCTGTCTTCAATACTTCCTATGGTACTTGGCTCAATGAATGTGTTTATTAAATCTACCTATTAGTTTCGTAACTATATGACTAAATATGGTGATTTTTTTTTATAAGGAAGAAGAAACCGATGTCCTCCACCACCTCTGCCACTAAACTCCAAAATCCAAACACATTCAACAACTTATCGTCATGGAGAAGTAGTTCATGTAGAATGTGAAATTAATTTTGAGATACAGGGATCAGAAGAAATACGTTGTGAAAATGGAAAATGGACAGAACCTCCAAAATGCATTGGTTAGCAACACCTTGAATAAGCTTTCCCTAAAATGAGGTTTGCATGTGTAGCTAAACGGTCTCTTTCCTCTCATTTGTTTCTTTGCAGAACAAAAGGAGAAGATAGCCTGTGAGGACCCACCTTTCATTGAGAATGGCACAGCAAACCCACACTCTACGATTTACTACAATGGGGATAGAGTGGCATATGAATGTAAAAGCGGGTATCATCTCCGTGGATCAAAAGAAATAACTTGTAAACGTGGAAACTGGACACGTCCTCCTGAGTGTGTTGGTATGTATGCTATATTTACCATCAACAGCTAAGCCAATTCCGTACAATTTTTCACTCTCCTTATTTAATCCACACACTTATAGCAAGACACTACTGCCTACTACTGCACCTACTCTACTACCGTTTTCGTGTGTGTGCAGCCATCCATAGAATTTGACCCAGTATAAAGAATTGGGAAACTAAAAAAGATTTTTGAATGTCCATTAGTGCTAAGCACTGTTATCTGACCTATTTTATACCACGATTTCTGAGCTTTATATGAAATTACATAAGTGACAGTGTGCTTCATTAGAGAAGTAAATAAGGGCATGTTGGATTGGGTGACTGGCCATGATCATGATCTACTTCCTCTCCCTTTATGTCCTGCAAAGTTATATTAGAGCACTCTGTTACTGACTTTGAGTCAGTCCTTCTGATATTACTTATGCATCTGGCCAGTCTGAGCCCTACATCCTTCTGAGATATGTCTCTGGTCTTTTGTTTTGCTGATATGCACAAGCAGGCTATAGTGCCACTCCTAGGTGCTATCCTTCCTGTCATCCTTTTCATTTCTCGAGCTCTCCTAGAAAGATCTCCACAAACATGTTTATTTAAGATATTTATTGCATAAGAGAAAAGCTATGAAACATGCTAAAGAAATCAGCAGATAAGAAAAAAACTAAAGGGAGAGAAAAAGTAGAAAATCTCATCCACGGATTGACTGAGATCTGAGATGAAGGGAATGAGAATAAAAAAAATAAACGATAAAAAAAACTGACGATAATATTTGGGTTATTGTTTACCCTTCCATACATTTTAAGAATATCTCTATTATGATTCATTCATAAGCAAAAAAAGTGACAAATATGCATATGTGTTCTTAGGTGAAACATTTGCTGTTTATTCTTACATAGTAAATTTTTAAAATATTTGAGTTGAATAGGATTTTTCTCATTTCTGGAGAATTTAGAAATCAATTGTCCTGAATCAATTGTCCTAAATATTGAAGAACTAGAGTATGGGTAGCTATATGATATCATTATGTTGTTATAAGTTCATATTAATTTTAAAATAACCACTTTCCTTAGAAAATAATGAGAATTGTAAGCCTCCACCTGCTGTAATAAATGGGGCTGTTGTTGATGGATTACTAGCAAGCTACACAACAGGATCCTCTGTGGAATATAGATGCAATGAATACTACTTATTGAGTGGGGCAAAAATATCTCGTTGTGAACAAGGAAGATGGTCACCCCCACCCGTTTGCTTAGGTAAGATAGAGAACACATTGTGGTTTTTTTTAAATAAAGAGAAATTATGGCATGGGAAAGATGAATTTTGTATAAACTTTTTCCCAAATGTTTTCTTTCCCTTTCTTTCTCTCTTTCTTTAGGAGGTTTTTATTTTATTTTTTTAAATATGACTTATTGTCAAACTGGCTTCCATACAACACCCAGTGCTGATCCCAATATCCCTTCGCTTTTCTGTAAGCAGAAAATCTAATATCACAGGGTCTAAAACTCCACTAGTTCTCACCTATTACTTTTTAAAAATTGTGGTAAAATATGAACAATAAAACTTTACCATCTTAGGCATTTGTAAATGTGCATTTCAGTGGCATTAAATATATTCACATTTTTGTGACTGGTTACATTTCGTGTCATCTTTCTCTGAACTGAAATTTTCCCTTACTAGGATCATCAGCATCTCTCCGATATTGTCCCCAGAATGTCATTTGGAGAGGATAATCAATCCAGTTCCTTCCTTGCTAGAGCATATTGTTAATAGCTTTCTTGGCTATCAATTCCTCACTTGAATGATCACCTTTTATTTTGCTGAGCAAATAAAGACATGCTTGTAATTACTTTAAATATATTTTGCATTAAGACATGGTATATAGTTAACAATGTGTCAAATGGAGAATTAAGGCAGCTATCTAAATAATTATCTAAATTGAGATAACTTTCAGAAAATAATATTCACCTTTCATTTCAAGCCTATATATTTGCCTCATTTTTGACATTGCTAGTCAAAATTATATTTAAAGGAGTATAATTGGTCACTACAGTTGCAATGAACTTCTTACATTGTGACTTCTACAAATAGGTAATGGTATCATAAACTTTCTGTAAGTTAAAATAAAATAGTAATTTAATTAAAAATGTTAGCCTTTCAAACTATAAATGTAAATCATTGTTATTTACTAAAAAAATAAGTATATAGAAGCAACTAGAAGAAAACAGAAAATATCAGTAACTTAGGAGGAAACAAAAGCTGTTAATTATTTAGATAATGGTTTTCTAAACCTTTTCATACACATACACACACACACACACACACACACACACACACGCAACGCATATTTATAAAAAATATATGCTATCATGAGAGGCTATGTAACTTGTTTTTTCCCCACAAACTATATTATGAATGTGGTTTGATATATTTGTACAATATACATTTTAATTGATGCATAGTATTCTATAATGCAGATATGCCATAATTAAATTAATCACTTTTAATGGAAGTTTAGTGTGGTTTCAACATTTTTATATTCCAAACAGTACATTTTTTTGTACTAAATGTTTGCACGCTTAAAAAACACTTTAGTTTTTGATTTTTAGAATTAAGTATGTTTCTTTCACATGTCTTATTTTGTTTTAGCTTTTTTTTTTTCAGATTTTCTGAAGGAGAACTTTGGATGAAAGAAATTTGGAATTTTAATTATTTTTCTGTAAATTGTCAAATTATCCTTGAGAAAGTTAATCTGATTTATGACCCTACCATCAGTGAATCAAAGTAGCACTTTTCTTACACTTTAATCTTCACAAATTGTTAATCCAACAATTAAAATTATTTTAATTTGGTTTATTTAAGTATTAATAAATTGAGTTTATTTATTTGATTTGGTTATTTAAGTATTACTCAATTGAGCATTTGTCAATTTTCTAGTGGCTGGCCACAGGTTGTTTTTTTTTTTTTTCCAATGACCTTGATTTTTTTATACTTGTAATAAAAGTTTTATTAGTATAAATTATATTATTCACTTGACAATGATGCAAGATATAACAATGTATATTGCAACCATTTTTATTTTCTTTTTCTTTATACTGTTTTCATATATAGAAGTTTAAATTTTAAATCGTAAGCTCTTTCCACATCTCCTTTGTGGTTTCTCTATTCCAAATCATTCTTAAGCTACTGTTCTCATGAAAATTCAGATATGTCTACCTATGGCTTTTCTTTTTTATAATTTTTTAAATGTTTTAAATGTTTTTTATTTATTTTTGAGAGAGAGAGAGACAGAGCATGAGTGGGGTGGTGGGGAGGGGGAGACACAGAATCCAAAGCAGGCTCCAGGCTCCGAGCTGTCAGCACAGAGCCTGATGCGGGGCTTGAACCCATAAACCGTGAGATCATGACCTGAGCCGAAGCTGTACACTTAACCAACTGAGCCACCCAGGCACCCCTACCTGTAGCTTTCCTATTGCTTTCCTATTTTTATAAAAGTTTTTGATATTAAGGCTTTGATGATGTGATTGATAATGCATTGAATGGAAGTACAGTCATCTCTGAGGATGGAGACTAAATGGAAATAGCAATGGAAAAGCTAGTAATGAAACAACCTCATAAGGAATAACAACGTTTAAGGAAATCTGTCATTCCGTCTGGAACAATTGTCTCGAGACACATAGACTTGGTGCTCATAAGTCAAAGCAGATACGGAATGAAGACCATTTATGGTCATCAGGGCAAGAGGGCAGAGTTCTGTACATCTTATTTGTCCTCAGAAACTGCAAGTACTCTCACTACAAATGGGGAAAATGGTGTAAGGAGCAGAATCTTCCATCTGTGAATTATTGTTCCAGTCATTATGAACCTCTTCAACCTCCCGCCGATCTTCCCTGTCTCATTCTACTCCAGCCACTCTGGTTTCCTTGCTCTTCCTCACACAAGACAAGTGTGATCTTACCTCAGGGCTGTTTCCTCTTTCTGGAACGCCCTTCCCTCAGAAAAAGCCATGGTTCACTCCTTGACCTTCTTCAAGTCTGTGCCGATACTACTTCTTACTTAGGCTTATCACAGCCATTTGACTTAAAAATTACTTCCCTTACCCCATCCCTCTGATACCCCTCCTCTCCCTCCACTACTTATTCCCCATCTAATTTATTATATGTGGTTTTAAGATGGCCACAAATTATAAAACCCATGTATTTATTTTAATTACCGCTAGTTCATTTGTGTTTCTCCCATTTAGAAGATAAGGTCCATGAGGGTGGAGATCTTTGTTTTGTTCTTTGATATATCTCAAGTGGTAGGTGTCCCACAAATATTATACAGTAAATATGTTTCCTATGTCATGATTTTTATTTAGAGGGAGGAAATCATGCTTAACCTAAGTGATTATTATATATATATATACATATATATATATATATATATGTTTTTTTTCTTTTTACTGAAGTATAGTTGGCACAAAATGTTACATTATTTGAGGGATACAACATGGTGATTCCACAAGTCCATAAGTTATGTTACACTCACCACCAATGTAGCCAATATCAGTCACCTTACAACACTACTACAATACCATTGACTACATTCCCTCTGCTGTACTTTTTATCTTCATGATTTATTAATTCCATAACGGAAGACTGTATCTCCCACAATGTGTGAAGGGTCACACATTTTGCCAGTCCCCATACCCCACTCCTTTCTGGCAGCCATCAATTTGTTTTCTGTATATATGGCTCTGTTGCTGCTTTTTGTTTGTTTATGCATTTGCTTTACGTTTTAGATTCCATATATAAGTAAATCATATGGTATTTGTCTTTCTCTGACTTATTTCACTTAGCTTAATACCCTGTAGGTCCATCCATATTGTTGCAAATGGCATGATTTCATCCTTTTATTTTTTTAAAAAATTTTTAAACATTTACTTATTATTGAGAGACACAGAGCATGAGCATGGGAGGGGCAGAGAGAGGGGAAGACACTGAATCTGAAGCAGGCTCCAGGCTCTGAGGTTTTAGCACAGAGCCTGACATGGGGCTCAAGAGACCATGACCTGAGCTGAAGTTGGACACTCAACCGACTGAGCCACTCAGGTGCCCCATGATTTCATCCTTTTTATGGCTGAGTAATATTCCATTATATGGACACTAGTGTTGCTTCCATATCTTATCTATTGTCTATAATGCAGCAATAAACATAGGGGTACATATATCTTTTTGAGTTTGTGTTTTCATTTTCTTTGGGTAAATATGCAGAAGTGGAATTATGGGATCATATAGTATTTTTATTTTTAATTTTTTGAGGAACCTCCACAATGTTCACCACAGTGGCTATACAAATGTACATTCAATCAAGAGGGCATGAGGTGATTTTTTTTTCCCCTTCTACATCCTCACCAACATTTGTTACCTCTCTTTTTGATTCTAGCCATTCTGACAAGTGTGAGTGATAGCTTATCGTGCGTTTTTTTATTAAAAAAAATTTTTTTTAACATTTATTTATTTTTGATAGAGAGAGACAGAGCACAAATGGGGGAGGGGCAGAGAGAGAGGGAGACACAGAATCCAAAGCAGGCTCCAGGCTCTGAGCTGTCAGCACAGAGCCCCATTTGGGGCTCAAACTCACAAACCATGAGATTGTGACCTGAGCCGAAGTCAGATGCTTAACCGACTGAGCCACCCAGGGTCCCCTATCTCATTGTGGTTTTGATTTGCATTTCCCTGATGATGAGTGATGTTGAGCATCTTTTTATGTGTCTGTTGACAATTTATATGTCTTCTTTGGAAAAATATCTATTCAAGTTCTCTACCCATTTTTTAATTGGATTATTTGTTTTGTGTGTGTGTGTGTGTGTGTGTGTGTGTGTGTGTGTGTCTGTGTCTATGTGTGTGTGTGTTGAGTTGAGTAACTTATTCATATATTTTGGATATTAACCCATTATCATATATATCCTTTGCAAATATCTTCCCCAATTCAGTGAGTTGCCTTTTTGTGTTGTTTATGGTTTCCGTTGCTGCACAAAAGCTTTTTATTTTGATGTAATCCCCATAGTTTATTTTCACTTTTGTATCCCTTGCCTCAGGAGACATATTTAGAAAAATGTTACTAAGGCCAGAGTCAAGAGGATTACTGCCTATGTTTTCTTCTAGGAGCTTTAAGGTTTCAGGTCTCACATTTAGATCTTTCATCCATTTTGAGTTAATTTTTGTATGTGGTATAAGAAAGTGGTCCAGTTTCATTCTTTTGCATGTAGCTGTCCAGTTTTCCCAGCACCACTTATTGAAAAGACTTTTTCCCATTGTAATATTCTTGCCTCCTTTGCCATAGATTAATTGACCATATGAGCATTTCTGCACTCTCTATTCTGTTCCACAGACCTATGTGTCTATTTTTGTCCCATGCCATGCTGTTTTGATTACTTCAGCTTTGTAGTATATCTTGAAATCTGGGATTGTGATCCCACCAATTTGGTTCTTTTTTCTCAAGATTGCTTTTTCTTTTGTGGTTCCATAAAAATTTAAGGATTATTTGTTCTGGTTCTCTGGAAAATGCTATTGGTATTTTGATAGTAATTGCATTGAATCTATAAATTGCTTTGGTTGGTATGGACATTTTAACAATATTAATCCTTCCAACCCATGAGCATGGAATGTCTTTCCATTTCTTTGTGTAATCTTCAATTTCTTTCATTAGAGTTTTATAGTTTTCAGAGTAAAGGTTTAATCTCCTTGGTTAAGTATATTCCTAGGTATTTTGTTCTTTTGGACATATTTATAAATAAAGTTAAAATTATTTTCTTAGTTTCTCTTTTTGCTGATTTGTTATTAGTGTGTACAAATGCGTTTGAATTCTGTGTATTAATTTTGTATTCTACAATTTTACTGAATTCATTTTTTTATTTTAAATAGTTTTTTGGTGGGGTCTTTAGGGTTTTTTGTGTATAGTATTATGTCATCTGCAAATAGTTACAGTTTAACTTTTTCCTTATCCATTTGGATGCCTTTTATTTCCTTTTTTTATCCAATTGCTGTGGCCAGCATGTTCAAGTGGTATGTTGAATAAAAGTGGCAAGAGTGGGCATCATTGTCTTCTCGTTCTTGGTCTGAGAGGAAAAACTCTGTTTTTCACCATTGAGTATGATGTTAACTGTGGGTTGACATTTGTCATATGCTTTTTCTTCATCTATTGAGATGATGATATGGTTTTTATTCTTTGTTTTCTTGATGTGGTGGACCATATTGATTGATTTATGAATATTGAACCATCCTTGCATCTCCAGAATAAATTCTGCTTGATCATGGTGAATGATTCTTTTAATGTATTGTTGAATGCAGTTTGTTAATAATTTGTTGAGGATTTTCTCATCCATGTTCATCAGGGATATTAGCCTGTAGTTCTCTTTTTTTTGTAGCATCTGTCTGGTTCAGGTATCATGGTGATGCTGGCCTAATTGAATGTATTTGGAAGCTTTCCTTCTTCTCTTATGTTTTGGAATAGTTGAGGAAAATAAGTTTTAACTCTTCTTTAAATGTTCAGTAGAATTCACCTGTGAAGCCATCTGGTCCTGGACTTTTGTTTTTTGGGGATTTTTAAAATTACCAATTCAATTTTGTTACTATTAATTGGTCTGCTCAGATTTTCTATTTCTTCCAGATTCGGTTTTAGATTATGTTTCTAGAAATTTATATATTTCTTCTAGATTGTCCAATTTTCTGGCATATAATTTTTTGTAGTATTCTTTCATAATCATTTGTATTTCTGTGGTGTAAGTTTTTACTTCTCTTGTTTCAAATTTTATTTATTTTTGTTGTCTCTTTTTTTCTTGAGAGTCTGGCTAAAGACTAATCAATTTGGTTTATCTTTTCAAAGAAACAGCCCCTAGTTTCACTGATCTTTTCTATTTTTTTTTTTTTAGTCTCTATATTATTTATTTCTGCTGTCTTTATTATTTCCTTCTTTCTACTAACCTTGGGCTCTTTTTGGTTCCTTTGGATGTAAAGTTATACTGTTTATTCGATTTTTTTGTTTCTTGAGGTAAACCTCTATTGCTATAAATTTCCCTCTTAGAACTGCTTTGCTGCATCCCAAATATTTTGGATCACTGTGTTTTTGTTTTCATTTATATCCATGTTTAAAAAAATTTTCTTCTTTAATTTCTTCATTGATCCATTGGATGTGTAGTAGCATGTTGTTTAGCCTCCACCTGTTTGTGGGGTTTTTTTCCCCATTTTTTTCTTTGTTATTGACATCTAGTTTCTTACTGTTGTTGTAAGAAAAGATGTGTGATATAATTTTAATGTTTTTTAATTTATTGATACTGTTTTGTGGCTTAACATGTGATCTATCCTGGGAACGTTCCATGTGCACTTGAAAAGAATGTGTATTGTGTTGTTTCTGGATGAAATGTGTTAGGGATATGTGTTATGACCCTCTGGTCTAAAAGTTCATTCAAAGACACTGTTTTCTTATTGATAGTATACCTGGATGATCTATCCATTAATGTAGTGGGATGTTAACGTCCCCTACTACTAATGTATTATTGTCAATTTTTTCCTTTATGTCTGTTAATATTTGCTCTATGCATTTAGGAACTCCAATTTTGGGGTGCATAGATATTTATAAGTGTTATATGTTCTCATTGGAATAATTTCCTTATCATTATGTAATGCTTCTTGGTCCCTTGTTATATCTGTTTTAAAGTCTCTTTTGTCTGGGGCGCCTGGGTGGCTGAGTTGGTTGAGCGTCCAACTTCGGCTCAGGTCATGATCTCACAGTTCGTGGGTTCGAGCCCAGCATCAGGCTCTGTGCTGACAGCTCAGAGCCTGGAGCCTGCTTCAGATTCTGTGTCTCCCTCTCTCTCTGCCCCTCCCCCACTCATGCTCTGTCTCCCTCTGTCTCAAAAATAAATAAACATTAAAAAAAATTAAAAAAAAATAAAGTCTCTTTTGTCCAATGTAAGTATTGCTACCCTGGCTTTTTTTTTTTTTTTTTTTTTTTTTTTTTTTTTTTTTTTTTTTTTTTTTTTTACTTCTATTTGCATCATATTTCTTTTTGTATCATTTCACTTTTAGTCTCTATGTACCTTTAAGTCTTAAGTGCATCTTTTGTAGCTTAAACAATATTTTTAACATTCAAATTAAGTGGTTTAAATTTATAATATAATGATAATAAGAAATGTATAAATTCATTTGATAGCAATATAATGTATATTTTATTATGTATATGTTTGAGGGGTTTTAATAATGTAAATGTTAAATATAAAACATTGCTTCTGATACCTATCAGATTTTTATTTTAAAAATATATTAAGCTTCATACTTGTCAAATGAGTAAATAATTGAAAAGAACATTTTTTCTTACAGAGCCATGTACTATTAATGTGGATTACATGAAAAGAAATAACATAGAGATGAAGTGGAAGTATGAAGGAAAGGTCTTACATGGAGATTTAATAGATTTTGTATGTAAACAAGGATATGACTTATCTCCATCAACCCCATTGTCTGAATTATCTGTACAGTGCAATAGAGGAGAAGTGAGATATCCTTTATGTATTATAAAAGGTAAAATAATAGTGTTTTCTGACAATTTCTCAGGTGATTAATATCACTACTTGGGTTCAAAGTATAAGAAAGACCCTACACAACTCACTATCATCATCTTCTAATATACAACATTGGTAATGATCTGATTAATTTCCAGTAAGCACAAATACTTAAAAAAGATGACTATGATGACATCTTTTAATTCCAATAAGTCAATTTTATAAAGGGAGAAATTAATAGGTCTTATAAATATCCCCAGACTATCAGGGGACTGATCACCCTAATGTGAGCAATCAACAACTCTGGAAAACATTGCCCTTCTTGGGGTTTGCTGGGTTTGTATTGTCTCAGAAAAGATCTTGATACAGACTGGGAGATTATTTGTGCTCCTTGGACATGGAACTATTACTTTTAATAAGAAAAAAAATGTAAGAAGATACATACAGAAAGCCTGGCTTCAATGGGGTTTCATACATTTTCACTTTTGGCTACATAAAAAGGGAAAAATAAAATCATGATTGTTAATTCTTTGCCAGTTTTAAATGTGTATTTCAATTTTATAATAAGATTCTAATTCTTGCAATAATCAATTTTATGATATTATTACAGAATGCTCTCAATATTTGAAATTTGACAGCTATTTTAAAAATGCTTTTACATGAAATGTGCCATTTTATTTCCATAGCAATTATTAAAGTATTGGATGCTTACTATATGGAAATTCATTATATCCTTCTAAAATTATTTTTGCAGAATCTAAAGGAATGTGTGCATATCCTCCACTTATTAAAAATGGAGTCATGATTAGTTCAACATTAGGCATCTATGAAAATGGTTCTTCAGTAGAATACAGATGTTTTGATCACCATTTCCTTCAAGGGTCTAGGGAGTCCTATTGCTTAGATGGAGTGTGGACTACACCACCATCATGTTTGGGTATGTACTACTAAATATCCCGCTATTTAATAAAATAAAAACCATATTTTTTCACTTTCTATTCTCTTTTAGTTGATATAACACTATTATAATGCTCAATTTGCTATATTTGTGCTTAAGTGTACCTATTCAATCATTAGTTCCTCTTCTTTCCTGTAGATCATAAATAACTATTGTCCAGCTGGTTCTAACAAGTATTATTAAATACAAATATACACCAGATACTGGTGTTGTATGGGGCTATACAGTGGCTAAGTCATAGTGGTGTGGGTAAACGTGTTAACAATTATCATTCAGTGTGACTGGTACTATAATAGGAAACATGAGTGCAATGGGGAAACAAAGATAGAAAGTTGAAGCAAGTTAATGCCTTATTAGTGAAGTATCTGAGTAGAAGTAACAATATCTAGCAAGATTCTCAGAAGTCAAAAAAAAAAAGCATATCTGTAAATAAAAAGAAAAATTTTTTGTGTCCATATTTGACTTATTTGGTATTTTATTTCACCAGCTTGGACTTGAGTACAATGCTGAGTAGAAGAAATAGTGGATATCTTGTTTCTCAGACTCATAAGCAAAACTTTCAATAATTCATCTTTATTTACAGTGTTATAAAGTCTTTAAAAATCGAATTAAAAATATAAAAAGCTCTAATTTCTATTTTTCTATTTTTTTTTAATCTTCACAGAGTGTTTAACAATACCTATTGAAATGACTATATGAGTACTTTTCCCCCCTAGAATTATAATTGCTTCTTTTTGATTGTTAAAAGCGGGATTATATTCCTCTAATAAATCACACTTGGTTGTGATGAATCATGATTTTTTACATGTTGTTGGGTTTTATTTGCTTATATTTTACTTAGAAGTTTTGCATCTATTTTCATGAGAGAGATCAGTCTGTTATTTTCCTTTTGGGTTTGGTATGAACTTTCTACTTATTTCATATGGTGAATTGGTATGTTCCTTCTTTTTGAATTCTCTGGAATTTGTGTAAGATTGGTACTATTTCTTCCCTAGTAATTGTAAGAATCCATCAAACATGCCATTTGGGCATCAAGTTTTCTTTGAGGACAGATAATGACAGCTGTCAGTTTTGGTAGGATGGTTTCTAGGAATTTGTCTATCGAGATTGTCAAATTTGTTGACATAATGTTCACAACATCTTTTTACATTCTTTTTAATGCCTTTAGTGGTGAGTCTTTTGCCTTTACTGCTATTAATATGTATCTCTTTCTTTGTTGGCATGTCTTACTAAGGGTCTACCACTTTTACTAGGCCTCTCAACTAATATTTGTATCATCAAATGTTGCTTACGATTTTATTAATTTATGTTCTTATCCTTATTTCCTCTCTTCTAATTTCTTGAGTCTATTTTATAGATCTTATTTTTATTTTTTTATTTTTTTATTGTGTTAACATTTATTTATTTTTGAGAGACAGAGAGAGACAGAATGTAAGCCGGGGAGGGGCAGAGAAAGGGAGACAGAATCCAAAGAATCAGCACAGAGCCTGACGCAGGGCTCGAACCCTCCAACGGTTAGATCATGGCCTGAGCCTAAGTCAGAGGCTTAACTGACTAAACTACCCAGGTGCCCCTATAGATCTTCTTTTAGCTTTTTAGATAGATACTCAAATTGCTGATTTTCAGCCTTTGTTTTCTTTCTAATATACGAATTTAAGGATATAAATTTCCTACTGAGCACAACTTTAACTTTATCCCACACGTTTTTACATTTTGGAATTTTATTATCATTCAGTCATTCAGTTTAAAAATATATGATATCATGGGGTTCCTGGATGGCTCAGGTCATGATCTTGTGGTCATGACCTCACTGTCATGAGATTGAGCCCTGCTCAAGATCCACGCTGACAGTAAAGAACCTACTTGGGATTCTCTCTCTCCCTCTCTATCTCTCTGCCCCTCCCCAGCTAGCGCTCTCCGTCTCCCTCTCTCTCTCTCAAAA